ATTTTCAGATGTCACATTGTACATGTAGATTTGAACCTTACCAGATCTTGTCCTTCACACATGCCTTTTCCTATTACCTATTGTGTCCTCAATTACATAAATTGCACTCTTTCTTTTCACGTAAATAGTTTGAAGTATCTTCATAAGCCTATCTCAGCTTAAGCCAGAGTTGCACCTGTCATTCTCTGTCAGATCATATCAAGAACAAGCCACAAGGCAATCTTTCCCAAGTCAGGTCTTTTACCGGAGTCAAGTTGTAAGTCAATTATTCCCAAGTCAAGTTTCCAGTCTATTTTTCAAGCATGATGTTATAATTGTAAAGTGCTAATTCTCCTGCACCTTCTATTGATGATGTGACCTGTGAGTTTTTATTAAAAAGGTCTGTCCTATGTAATTCTTTGGCAGCTTAACATGCAGATGAATACATAAATTTCTAATAAAACATCAGCATAATGAAGCCAGACAGGTCTGCTTTCGCACATACGTGTGCTTATGTACAATTGTAAAAAGTCAAAGATTTTTCCATGTATTTATTTCAACAAAAGTTGGTCGCGTCAACAAGTCAAATTTGGTCGAGTCAAGTCGTAAGGCATTTCTCTCCAAAGTCACGTCGCGTCCTAAGTAACTTTTTTTTCCGAGCCAAGCATCAACTTGGTCAAGTAAGAAAAGAGCAAGTGAAACGAGACTGACTCATTCGAGTCAACAAGTTACACATACATTTACTTCATATTTAATACACATTGATACTTCAAAAGTGGTGAAAGACGGCCTTGTCTCCTCCACCCAGGTATCACTCCTCCCCGTATCACAACCTTGTGACAAACACATGCACACCTAAACAAGCTGAACTGTGTAACACTAGTGACTGATAGATTACCACATCTATCTTTCCATAAAGTGGCTGCTCTTTAATGCACACATGTAAACATGTATGGTCACTAGGATGGAAAAATCAATAACTGTCCTCTGTAGAGTCTGATGTCTAAGCACAAACTGAAAAAAAAACAACCAAATTTACAAAGCCATTCTTAGAAAATTGCAACCCGAGTTCAGATGATACATGGCAATTTTCACATACTGCCATTTTCTCCTGAAAGTATCAAACACAATATACCGGTGGTCCAGTACCCACCAGTATGTGTACATGTACCTTTATCCCTACAGGAAGATTGATAGAGATTAACTGTAATTTCCATGAAAACTGTAATTTCCGTGAAAACTGTAATTTCCATGAAAACTGTAATTTCCACGAAAGCCATAATTTCCATGAAAACTGTCATTTCCATGAAAACTATAATTTCCATGATTCACAAAGTTTTTCCCTCCCTAATAGTGAGCTCCAGCTTCATCAGATGTTTGATACACCATGGTCACACACACCTGAAAAAAAAACCCTTAGCTGGTCACTTCATCCTGAGAGTAATTCCAGAATTTAGGGGTCCAACAGCGTGACATTTTTGTGTCCCTGTTACATCTGGATTTTGTTATTTGACAGGGTAATATCCCCAGAATTGATTTCAAACTATTACTATTTGTTTGGCAGGTAATCTGCATTTATTCATAACTCTTGGAAATTAGAAAATGTGTTCTGAACTTACAAAAATCATATGTCAGATGTGGCAGGGACGCGAAAAAAATGGACCCCTAATTTCTGGAATTACCCCTGAATGGCTTCGATACACAGCTGTGAAGATGACTAATATCATTTGCCTGAAGCACAAAGCATAATGTCCTTTTTTTTTAGCAAGGTGTTCTCCAAGCATAAGACCTTGGAAACAAACATCATAAAATGCTACACAGGTATCCCCTCAATGCAATAAGAGTGATGCTACTGAACTATTAACCCAGCACTAAATCCAGAGATCACTTTGGCACTAAAGCAAGTTACATGTATGTGTATGTCCCCAAGATATCAATTACATCATACGCATACCGGTGATTTATCTCCCTAGATAACAAAGAGAAAGATATGCAGCACCCTTGCTAAGCTCCCAACACCTGTAAGATTGTGCACATTCAGGTGAAAATTAAGCGATTGTCCAAAGCAATTGGCTGTGGCAGGCAATACCAAAGAAGCCTACGGGAGATACATGTAGTTACAGAAGCTGCATGAACAGTTGCTAGTGGCTTTCATACATGTACTCGGTAGCTACATGTACACTGCACATGTACAAACTACAGTCACAGCCAGTGTCTGGACTCCAAGCACGGTGAAGCCCCCTTCATCCGCCAAGAGACCGGCTTGTGGGAATCATTCCACCAGCACACCCAGTGCACGCACAAAGGCCATACAACACATGCCAACATAAATTGGTCGCGCATACTCAGCGCATCCTATGCCAAACGTGTAAATCAATACACAAATGCAATGAACTTTCACCTTAGGACCATCCTTGCCATGTCAAAAAAGCACGCCATCACTTGTTCCTGTACAGAGCAGATTTATTTGACAACCTAATTTACACTCCACATTAGACCCATACCTACAACGCAGACCAGTGTGCAAACAAACCATGACATGAATCTTTGAGACAGACCACAGTCTCACCCACTACAATGTACTCTTATGCAGACAATCCAAATATGGACTGTACAACCTGGGACAACACCAATTCGATAATATTAAATGGTAAAGTCATCGAATGCTTCAACTAATATCTTTTGGGAGAAAAATTTTTTTTTTTTTTAAATAACATCCAACCTCAAGATCAGTTTTTACAAGGCGCTAATTCATATAAATTTACTCAGTAAATACTGAGTAACTAAATCTTTGTTTTCAAGTTTTAGCTAGAGGAAAGGGATAAGGGGATAAAACAGGATGGAAAGGATTGGATAGGGTATCTGCTTGCCTGAGGCGACCTTGAAGGGCTGCAAACAGTCTAGTAGATGGATTGGCTAATGCAAACACATGCTCTCAACTCACACGCTTCCCGCGTCCAGGTGTCTCTTCCTTAATCAATTGACCCTGCGTAAGTTTCCGCTTTCTAAGTAGGGAAAGGGGGGATGGGGGGGCAAACCGAGTCAGCAGTAAAAAATCGGGACAGGAAGGGCCTGTTTCCAAACAGGAAACCGGTCGCAGCATGCCCGGGCCAGGACTCATACATGGGACAGCAGCAGCCCTGTCAAAAACTGTGCGGCACACTTTTTTCCCCTCTCTAAATGAAGCATTCCAGCTGACCAAATTCACAAGTTGGCCATATTGAATTGAAAGTGAGGTTCACATTTTCATTTTGAAGAATGCAAATGAAAGCAATGGCAAACAATTCAGTAGAGATAAGGTTCACTTACGATGAGTAATCATCACAGATTAGCTTCATTTACAATGAAGAATAATACATGTATGTGATATCTATATCCAAATGTTTTAAGCAACATTAGAAAAAAAAGGAAGACGTGGAACCCAAAACAGTCTGGCACCACCCAATTTGACAGATTACATAGTACACGATAGATTCAGCGGACATGAGTTTACTTGTGAATGACATCTCTTCAGAAATCTGGGCCAGTTCAGTTTGTGTGATTTTTTCTCCCCAACCGCTGCCTCCCGGGAGGAAACACGACCAATAATAAGACTGTGGGACCAATTCCCACGAGGTCATATGGGAATTTGCGATCAAATTACTTCGTTTCTCTGTAGCAGTACATGAAGTGTAAGCACACGAAAGCTTTAAAAAGTAACGGTGCTTGACAATATTATCCAAAGCAGGGGGCTTGATACCATGGAATGAGTCAATGTTTTCGATGCTAAATGTGGGTTTACATTAAAGGATAGCTGCAATCAATTTGTTTTAGTACAAAACTTCAAAATGCAACTTTGTGTCCCAGTTGACCTTATTTTCAGGTTTTGTTTCACATTCAAGGGTATTTTACTGCCATTTTGGTTTCATTTCCATATTCATGGCCAGAACTGAGATGCCATCTCAAGAAGGCCTCAATGTTACAATGGTTTGTACAAAAAAGTCCTCCATTTTGGTAGATTTTGCCGGACTGACTTTTCTCTTCTTTGCTGCTTCATTGTTCTTTATGTGTGTAGCAATACGCAAGCATCAATCCCTCTCTTAGAAATATTTTCTGTAAGTAAATTCTGTGTTTATAATTGGAATAGAAAAACCTATGCATTGAATTACGCCTTCCCTGGATGACATCACAGCAACAGCGCCCTCAGTTGTCCAAGAGAGCATGCCTAATTTTAATAGTTGCATTCAATCAAACAGGATGGTAAAGAGTTTTCACACACTGAAGAGAGTTGCAGAAAAAGAACTTGCATTTTAGAAAAATTCACTGCAGCTACACTTTAATGTGCCTGCATTTGTTTCTGAAGGACTGTTTAGGTAACAGAGGTTTTGTTGATTCTGATGTGAAACAAAATATGTAAATAAAACCCAATCACCTACAGGGCCCCAGCAAGAAAGTAGAATTTCTTGCATGCTGAAGATTTCTGGCTGATCACAAATTCTTTTCTAAAAAGTGCTCCAATAAATCTGGCAACGTTTACAAGCATCTCCACTGTGCAATTATAAGCAATGACCCAGCAGGAGTTTTCAATCAAGAGGGGAGGTCTGTTGTCACACAAAATAGCAAACCTTCCCACAAGATTTCATGTGCGCATGCTTCTGGATTTGTCAAAATATCCTCCCTCCCCCCTTCCCCACAACAAGATCATCAGCCCTTCTTGTCCAATCATGCAAGCGGCACTCACTCCCAATCTGGAGTCACAAAGTAGATGCACATCCATGTACATCTAGGACATGGACATGT